GTATGTATTTTGTACTACAGGTGTATCATGGCTATATGTATTATGTACTATACGTGAATCATGGGTATATATTTTTGTACTACACCTGTATCATGGGTGTATGTATTTTGTACTACACGTGTATCACGGGTAAATGCATTTTGTACTACATGTGTATCATGGCTAAATGCATTTTGTACTACACCTGTATAATGGGTGTATGTATCTTGTACTACACGTGTATCATTGGTATATGCATTTTGTACTACATGTGTATCATGGGTGTATGTATTTATACTACACGTGTATTATAGGTATGTGTATTTTGTACTACACGTGTATCATGGGTATATGCATTTTGTACTACATGTGTATCATGGGTGTATGTATTTATACTACACGTGTATCATGGGTATGTGTATTTTGTACTACACATGTATCATGGGTATATGTATTTTGTAATACACGTATATCATGGGTATATGTATTTTGTACTTTACGTGTATCATGGGTCTATTTATGTATTTTGTACTACACGTGTATCATGGGTGTATGTATTTTGTACTACACGTGTATCTTGGGTATATGCATTTTGTACTACACGTGTATCATGGGTATATGTATTTTGTACTACACGTATATCATTGGTATATGTATTTATACTACACGTGTATCATGGGTATGTGTATTTTGTACTACACGTGTATCATTGGTATATGTATTTTGTACTACACGTGTATTATGGGTATATGCATTTTGTACTAGACGTATATCATGGGTATATGTATTTTATACTACACGTGTATCATTGGTATATGTATTTTGTACTACACGTGTATCATGGGTGTGTGTATTTTGTACTACACGTGTATCATGGGTGTATGTATTTTGTATTACACGTGTATCATGGGTATATGAATGTATTTTGCACTACACGTGCATGTATTTTGTACTACACGTCTATCATGGGTATGTGTATTTTGTACTACGCGTGTATCTTTATATATATGTATTTTGTAATCATTAGTCCGGTACACGTGTATCGTTGGTGTATATATATTCATATATTAAACAGTTTAAACGCATATACATAGATAAAACATATGTAGAAATAAATGTTACATTCTTCATTGCTTATTAATGCGGTGATGTCATACAAAAAACATATCATTACATATACAAATACAGGCTTATCATGAATGAGTTAACAGAATTAATAACCCATCACAATCACGTGTATTTACATTACGCAATCCTAATTTTCATGTGATTTTGGCATCTGTGACCATTTAAAGTTAATATTTTCTTTAATTTACATCCTATTATGCATATAAGTCTGCAAAGGTTTTTGCGGAGGTATTACCACCCGTATTTCGTCTAGCCATCCCTTAAATATGACTAATTTAATTAAATGCTAAATTATTCTTTGATACCGTCAAATGACGGTCGTATCCAAGGTAAATCGAATAGAAAATTTATATAAATACATCGTTTGCCATCTAATATAACCTGTTACAAAATGGGCTCTCTGAAATAGAATATGTATTTTGTATTTATTCAAAATACAAGTTGATTATCGCGCAGAAACTGTTCAATGGACTTGTCTTTAATTCAGTGAGGTGACTCACCCCATTTTTCGTTATCTAATATACGTATAGTTCAGGCTTCTCATAAACTATCAAATTAGGGAGAATGCCGCTTAGGACCTTTCATTAATGCATACGGAACCAGTATAATATATTCCCTGGATGATTCATGAAATGATTTGTGATTGTAAGACGTTTTTCATTAATAACACTTTAAGGAACGTAATTTAAATGTCTGATTCGATGTTAGCACGCGAATTTTCTCTTTAGTCTTAAATACGGTCTACTTGATAAAATTAGGGTCAACTTATATCACTGTAAAGTAATTACACGAACCATATTTGTATACATGCATTACACATGTTTAATATTATCACGCGGGTACAAGAAAGAAGTAAACAATAAACAAAACTAAATATATGACTAATGCAATCAGCTAAATATGTACCACTCTATCTTTTTTTGGCGTCTGTTTTCTCGCGTATGTACAGTTATATACGAGTACATAATTATATACATATAGTTTTTTAAGAATTGTTCTAGATTGTGGAAAATAATTTATAGAAATAAAAGGCATGCATTAGTCATACGCTGTCATTGACACGTGCATATTAACCAATATAAACAATAATTTATATCCTATATATTTTCCTATATCAGTTTTCTTTATATAGTATATTTGATTTTAATTCGATAAAGATTGTATAAAAAGCATTATGAAATAGCATAAAAATGTACATAACATGCATTTACCCGTGCAATGAATCATTCCGCGGTATTAACCAAGGCTTTATAAGTAGTCAAATTAACTATGTTATAAATTCATTTTTTTTTTATTTCGTGTTTTAACGCATTTAAGGTTGCATGGGTCAGTGAGAAGTATCTTACCAACGAAAGGGCAACTATTATGCTTTTATAACGTAAAATCTGATATGTATTGTCAAATAAGTGTACTGATTACAAACTTTGATAGTATTTTGTTGATACTTTTCATACTTGAATGAATGAAATAGCATTTCTGAATGGGTATTTACGCCGCCTGATTTGCAATTTTTATGTAATGGAAATTTCAAAACCACAAAAATGGCATTAATAGGCAATATTGTAATGTATCTTATAGTAAAATGCGCGAATTTTAACAATGGCATGTGTGACGTCATCCTTGGCTAGAGAAACACTAGATGATTTATAACACGATTACGAAGTTTGCACTTTCGAAGCTTCTGCACTTGTGCACTCGTAAAACGAAGATAATTTTCAAATAAAAAATAGAATCATAAAAAACAAAAACTGTGGAGTTTGTAGTGCAGCCATAGGTCCAAGAGAACAATTGTGAAATGTGTAATCTGAATTTAAGATGCTTGTTCAAAAGAGATATTAAAAAGATGGTACAGACGTGCACGATAAAATGATATAAAACCGTGCATGGTCGGGAACCTTACATGTAATAAGATAGTTGACGCATTAGGTGCAGATATCTTCTGTTACAGGAAAGTTTGATAACTTACCGAAGAAAACTAGCTTCAAGTATTTGTTAACACTAGGGGGAGACTGGCCGTTTAATGAAGCAATGGCTAGTAAAGTAATTAAATCAGCCAAGTGTATGTTGATAACCACTAACAGTTACTTTAGCAAAATCAATTACACATAAAATACACGTTGTTAAATGAAATGGGATATATTATTTATTGTTAGAATTTATACAATCGTGAAAAATTTGGATTAAGCAATATTTCTTCTAGTGTATTGGTATTTACTCCGGCCCGTTAACTTTTTTGTTTAGTCACGGAATGAGTGTGCACTATTTATGTATCCGTTTGTAAAATGGCCAAACGATATTTATATTATATAGATCTATATATACAGTACAAGCAACAATTTGCTAATTGATAAATCGGGTAATTTATTGTTAAAAAGACTTCGCTGATAAGTGTCAATCCGACAAAACGAAATACATTCACAGTGAAGAAAGTTACCATAATATAATTTTTATTGTAATGGTATCAAAGAAGTACCAATAAAAATGTTATTAAAAATTAAGTGGCATGATAACGCAAAACTTTGAAATACCATTACTTTGAAATACTAGTGCGTTTGACCTTTTCTTTATAACTATACCGTTGGCAAACTGTTTGTTTAACAAATGTTAACGGTCACACGACATCTTATAATTGTTTATGTAAATCGTTTAAAATTATGAACATAACTGTAAAAAGTGCTCTACACTCCTTTAATAGATATCAAAGTAAAGTCAAGAACCCTGTGCACAAACAACAAAACCTTAGATTCTTGCAGAGGCCAAACATCAAAAATATTCATACCCCATTTTATAAAATGCACTAATGCAAAAACCATGTATTCTCTTTTAAATTTTCCTTTCTTCGTGCATGTCATTTTATTTTCTTCCAAAACATGTGTTTTAAATTTGTATACAGCATGAGCTTTGTATCGAAAATTAGGGTAACTCCCTCTGACCACAGAGTTCCCCTTTTCATTAAATCTATGCTAATTTTGTAGATACGAGTATATATTTCACCGATTTTACGTTGCACTGCGTTAACTACATCAATTGTACTGGTAATAGTTTAGATATATAAAAACCCAAATGTAATTTTTACGATTTAAGTAACAGATTTTGGTTCGTTTAAATAGATTGAGACTTTGGCAATGGCGTTGTAAAATCCCCGTTGCATGATCAGTTGTTGTTTTTTGTATTTTTATGTATCGAGTTTCATAAAGAAAGAGTGTGTTGAACACTTATATTGACCTGATTTGCATTTTGCTCGGCTTTTGTTTCCACTTCTTTTAATATACTATATAATATAATAAATATAATATACTATTTCATGTACTTCTCTTGAAACCGATCTTATAATTTTGCACATTTTTGTCATTTTTACAATAGTTGGCACGCATGGGGTTTCCCTCACTGTTCATCGCGTATTCGATATTACAGAGTATAGGCCAATAAATTACATTGTACTTAATATGACATTAATGTAACTTCAATTGCAATGGCACCAAATTTTGACATTTTAGATGCAAATTATTTCGATAAAATGATTAGTACATTCAGATTATATTAATTAATTTCCTTTAACGACGTAACTTTTACTGAAAATTTATATTTCATAAGGCGGTGGAGGGGGGGGGGGTGCGGTTGTTACCGCATTAAATCCTGATCTAAACATAAGGACACTCAAACCATTTTATATCTACAAAAGTACTTATACACATTAATACTGATAGTCTGACATTATCTCACGGTTATGACGTCTTAGTTTTTTTTTTTACTCTATTTAAGTGGGAAAAAAATTTGTGCCTAAAATTCAAATTATCATTTCAAATATATCAATTTCGAATTATCATAGGATTACTTAAAACACACTTAAAAACAACAATAGCAACAACAAATATAATGAAAAATTATTATACCTCTGCCTCAATTTTATTATGGACTGATAATGAACTTTTCCGTTTCTCGTACATGGCTTGGTCCCGATGGTCCCGGTATTGGTAGAACTTCTCTCCTAAACTCGACCCCAGCAGCACGGTAACTAAACAGAAGGCGGTTAGTGGGCTATACCATTCCGAGGCCATAGTCTTTATAGTGTTGGATTAAATCCAGCAGGTCAATATCCAGTAATTGCAGTATTTGTTTCTACGATAATAAATAATCTATGTGTTATATGGTTCATAACGATCGTCTGTCGACCCGAACAGATATTGGATAACATAATATCCCATGTAAAATTGTTCCCTATATTCTTGTACTGTATAGTAACTCATATATTGTATATGTACTACAGTGAAAACATCATCTTTGAATAGTACTTCACGTTATAATTATATTATATCCATAAATAATTATAATAATAAAACACTTTTGATGAATATAGATATCCAAAAACAGAGTATCACAACTTTCTTTTGAATTAAACACTCCCGTCTTTGCCGGAAGGTCTCGAGCTAATCCATGCAGACAGCTTCATCTTCTGATATAGCATCAATTTAAACACCCCTGTAAACACACAAATAAATACAAATCAATTCCCGATGGAACGAAAAAAACACTCTTAATCAAAGAAGCGTGATTATAAAGCATGAAAATATTGCCTCCACCTCATATGGTCCGACCAACTTTGGTTTCCTGATTTTAAATAACTCCACTAGACTATTGAGTGACTAAAGCCCCCTAAATTTGAAGTACCTCGACAAGTGTCCAATAAACATTCCTTTCACTTAATGACTATGAAACCGTGTATTGGTAAGTTTATTTTCTACGTTATTAATCCGAGTGATATTCCACGATTATCTAAACTTGTACGAACCACCTCACATCTTGATCTTATTGTGCAAAGAACATGTTCACTCCGTCAACGACTGTTTTATTATATACGATTTACAACAGCTCTTCTCCACCATGTTAAATAAGCCTTCTTTAATGTTTAAACGTTTCAAAATGTATCAAAATAAAAATTTATTCTGTCCTATATTTTATTTTTTTGAACTTATTTTTTTAAAAAAAGATTGCAGTTCACAAAAAAGCAAAAAATAGTTTGTCCCCTTCTACACTATATTTATTGAATATTTTAGTATATAAAATTAAAATCCTGTATGCTACAAATTCAATAGTTTACAAATCTTTATTACCGCCATGCGACTTATATCTAAACGCGTTTAACGTTTTCCCATGCACTACAGTACATGACAAGCAGACCGGCTATTATGTGGTAAACGTAGAAAACCTAGGCTGTTATTGTAGTTTACTTGCGAAGAGTGAGACACAATATGATATTATATATCTTCAGACTAAATAACAGCAATCATACAAGTGGTATATTTATCTAATTATAATCAGCTCGCGTACAGTGCGCATGCGCAGAAATAATGCCAAACTGTACCAGTCTATATCTCAGACTCGTCTGTAAGTCAGTCACATCTCGGCCATCGGAATGAACGCTTCATTCAACTCTTAGCCAGTTTACGTGTTAATTAAATGTATTGTTATTTATACTTCTTTAGATCTACATTCTAATTAATTGAAGCATTTAGTACAAGTTATATTTAATATTATATTGCCGATAATAAAAATTATATAATATAAATGAACGATTTAACTACAAGTAGAAATTTATGTAAAGTTGTAAACCGACATTTTCACTTTTATAGTTTAATATATATATACATTATATCAGTACGTATAAAAGCTTGCTGTAAATATAGGGTCTCTTTCCTTAAATATTAAAAGAACCTAAATTATGCTTTTACGTAAATACTGACAAAAGTAATTCCGTCGAGAAAACCTGGCCAATCTGCAGACGACATATTTTAAACAGAAACAACACTGAGTCATCGAGAATGATCTATAAAAGCCCATCTGAGAACGTCTAAGAAACCTTCTCGTCTGCAAAATACAGGGTTAAATGTCAATGCGAAGACGATCTCTCAAAATAAATCTCAATATTACTTCGTTATAGTGAAATAATATTTACACTGTTACAGTGCATGTAAATATCGCAGACAGCTAAGAACCTTCTCCGCAGAAGACAGTGTATTGAACGTAGATTCTATTCGTTATTTTTTTCCCGCCAATACAGACATTATTTCAGAGAAGTAAACCGTTACTGAAGCAACGCGTGTGAAAAGTATAACGTTAAATAATTCATCATATTGAATGTTCAAGCAAGTCTTTTAGCTTTACTTGTTTTAGTTAAAAGTCGCTTAATTCTTGCAGCTTGCCTTTAAACGCTGAAGAATTTTATTCTTACAGAGGACAGCTAATGAAAAGAAGAATCATTATTTAATGACAATTAATGTACATTTATAATGGCATCCTACAAAGCTCCGGCTAGCGACTTTGCATTCCGTATAGGGTTATTATTCTGTAGACATTAAGCAACTGGGCTTAAATTACAAGTGAAATGATTTAAGTAAAAGGACTAAGCCTAACACTGTCATATCAAATATTTGTTGAAATAGATTTTCATAAGATCAAATAAAGTCTTCTTATTGTAGACACAAAATATTTGGACCAAATTTCTAAGATATGGGAACTGTTTGTCAGTTTAATTAGGTAATTTAAGTTAAACTTATAAAATATCTATGTATTTACCTGCATTTTGGCTTTAAAAATACATTTTTACCGCGCATTGAAATCAAATAAGCATATAAATACGATATAATTGGGTTGCAACATTTAAATGTCCGTAAAAGGTACAACCGACAATACAGTCAATCTCTTTCAAAAAGCTTTTGTTTTTGTTACTACCATTAAGAAGTTCTTCAGAGACTTAGCCCGTCCTAAACACGCCTCTTAAATAAACTTAGACTATGAATGAATCCCCATCGAATGATTAAGGGTATTAGCTGTTTTACATTTATGGATATCGTACAAACTTTGGCCGTTTACTTCACTTTATATCTTGTTTTAACATCAAACATTGCAATGCGATGAGTGTTTACTCTAGTATAGCCAAGGTGTAAAACCATTGGACTGATAAATGAGAATATCACCGTTGCTTGGCTAGCCTTAAAACAGCCTTAGCATATGCATTTTATGGTTGGCATCAAAGCTAAGCAATTTTTGATATTTTCATTCATACTAATTGCATGCATGAACTTTGGTAGTAATTTGAGCTATCACCCTCTTTTTTGTGCCGTAAAACGATCGAAAATCATACACTTATATCATTAGTTTTACATTTCATAAGTAAATATTAGTTTTGAAGTGGTTTGTGAATGAAATCAAAAGGTATGACCGATTTGTCAGATATTGGAGAAACTGTATTCAAATCTTTCGATGCAACTGAAAAACATTAATGAAGAGATATTCAAATTTGTAATTGTAAATGTCACGCCGTTGCAGTTTACACCATTAAAGGCTTGTAATAAAAGGTTTGTGCACACATCAAGCAGAAATTGTATTAATCTTAATGCAACAGCGGCGTATCTTAGTGATAAACAAAATTTTCCACCATTAAACTCATCAAAGGACAGGTTCAATCATCGTTTCATATGGTAAGATTTTTTTTATTCAAGCAGTGGTAGTCTGGTGTCAGTCTGAAACGACCTGTCAATTCGTATGGATAAACACTGATAATTAACGGTGTTTCATTAGTAAAACCGAACATGTCTTTCGTTGTAAAGTATGTTTAACTGCGTTTATCTATATATATTCATTAGTTAATCTGGAATATACATCCAAAAAGTCTTATTGGCTTGTTATCACACGTATCCATTAGTCTTACAAAGTGTTTCCGGTCATGGCAAACAGATAGCTATAAAACTATAGACGGAAAAGTATACTGTGTCAATGGAACGATATTGAAGATGAATTTCATTTTATTATAGACTTTTGCAGCATAATTATGTCTTTCTCACATCGGAGCGTCTACTAATTATAACATAAACGCACTTGAAAGCGACCCTTTGCCCACCCAAAAGTAAATGGTAAAAAGTTAATGGTCAGTGAATAGGTAAAAATAAAAATAACTTGACAATTTCCATAGTTGTGTACAATTTTATATTTAACTATGAAAAGTCAAGTATTGGTCAATCACCAATTATAATTGCCGATCATCTGAAACAACTCAACTTGATAGCAACAAAGTAAGCACAATGTCACATATTAAAGGTCCGCAAAATAATAAATTTATTGAAATATGGTGAAAGAGTTGCAACTCGCTGTAATAAATACATCAAATGAGTTTTGAATTTCACATTGCTCTACGTATGATACAAAATCAATTTTCAGTAAACAATGTCCAAACATTTTCTCATTTTCACTAAAGCACAAACTGTGTGATAAAGAAACATTATACGTCTTTAGTTCAGACATTACTTTAATAAGTTACCCGAGACAAGACTTCAACCTACAACCTTCTTTCAAATTATGATACAAATGCTTACTTTATATCAATTCATAAACCGTTCATAAAAAAGTGAACACCTATTTCATTCATTAAACGCACGTTTAATATTTCAAGGCGACATTTTCTTTAATGACACTTTCTTGAGTGACTCATGCGTCACAATAAATGCCCGATTTTGAAACAAGATAAACATGGTGTTTAAACAGATCTAAACATTCGGCTTTAATATCCTATCGATCGCGAAAATAGGGCGCGTTGATAAATAGACCTAAGCATGTTTTACTGTTAAAATCATTCAATGAACATTTAATGGAAACGGACTGAAAGGTCTTCTTAATACTAGTATACGTTTTAGCCTTGATATTCTTAATTGTTGCTTGTTTAATTCTTAATTACCAAATTTCTATTTTAAATATCTTAGCAAGACACGAAGACTGCGAGTTTATGAAAGAAAATAACTGCCCAAAACTTTATGACAAAAATTCGTTTGTTAAGGAATAAAACATGTTTAACGATTTTACACGTTTTAGATTTATTAATACATTTTTGCTATGCAATAGAACTAAGATAATTTCGTTAGTAGACCTGTAACATTAAATGCTATAAAAATGAAGTGATATAAAAATATGCTTATTTAGGATATAGTTCAATGTGCTTTTTTCACTTGAAAGCAACTTATGATTTAAGAAAAAAGAATAATCAAATTTAAAAGCACTTCTAATCAATCCTATGTTTTAAATGTCGCGACAATTGCTTTTGTAGATTTGTCTGCACATTGTACAAATATTAGCAATTCTCGTACGATATTGGTGGGGTGAGGCGTTGCGTCAAAACAAGTATAAAACTTTCACTAGATTGTATCGTACCGTCTGAATAGTTGAGCTTTACCGATGATATATTAAAGGCTTTGATACAACGATAGATTAAAGGTAGATGGTTTGATGATTTGATAGAGACATTTGGCAAGTCGAACTAAATGCTTTTAAATGTTTTTTGCTGATACTGCAAAAATGCACTCTTAACACTTGTACAGTATCAAATGATATATTTTATTTCATTTGAAAATTTGTATTTTTAAAAAAAATAAAAACAGTTTTTTACAACATATTTTATCTTATACATCGTATAAATGATTGTTTAAACAATC